ACTCCAATTTTGTGTTTGAATGCTTGTCTAATTTGGCTGTCCAGGTTATTGATCTCTTGGTTCAAGAGGAATGTATCCTGTAGCATGTATTCTATGGCTGGCATCATAACCTGATTTAGGATGTATCTGCATTATTTGTCTGTAATCATGGCTCTTTTTAGAATTCATGTTATTGTTTTCACTTTTTGTCTGATTAGTTCATGCTGATACTTTTTGCTGCCTGTTGTTATGATCCAAATTCCAAGGTTTCTTATGGCTTGTTTGGGTTTCACCAGTTTGATTATTTGGTTTTGAAATTGAAGGTCTTCTGTGTCTTCTTTTTTATTGTTCATTGTGAGAAGCACTGCTTTTTCTGGGTTGACTCTAAAATTAGCCAGCTTTGCAAATTGTTTTGTGATTTTGATGATTTTGTCAATGTGCTCTCGATAGCTTGCTATTCAGATTGTGTCATCCATGTATGTTATTGATGAGACACTATGTTCTTGTTTTCTCCAGATACTTGGATTGTTTGTGGATTTTTGAACAGAGAATCTGTATCCTATGTTTTCTTTTTCTACTCTGCTGATCAATGAATCATAGTAAATGTGCCAAAGCAAAGGTGAAATTGTGTCTCCTTGGTCTATAAATAATAATATTATTATTGTTGTTATTGTTGTTTTTTAATAAGTATTAAATATAAGGTTTTTATTAAATTTTTGTTTATTATTAAATATTAAAAATATTTATAAAAAAAAAAAAAACTCTTTTCTGATCATATCTGTTTTGTTAAAAATTTTTCTTTTATAGTAATTTTAAGCAAGAAAAAATGTTTTATACTCTTTATCACAAGTAAGTCCCAGTTTAAAAACTTAAGAACCTTCAAGATAACTAGTGTAATGGGATTAGACCTCTAATCAAAGTCTATTCATGTTTGGGAATTTTGCTTATTCTTTGATTATATGAGAAAAAGCCTATAGTAATTCTCTATTTTTCTATTCTCTTGCATTTCTCTTTACCTTTACTCTATTATGAAAACTATATACATTATTATTATTATACTTGTTAAGTCAAATACTATCTATAATACATACTCAAATAGAGTAAGTGAATCTACTATTTGTTTCAAGTCAACCCTTAATTACAATATTCTGGTAATATTTGCTGTACTACTATAATTCTTACAATATTTTCACCTGACCAAAAAACCAAAATCAGTTTATCTCTTCCAAATAATTAGCACCCTACAATCATCCAATTAGATTTCATGTAAAAATCAAAACAAAAATCAAGTGTACCTAAACTGGTTTTGTATTATAACAATAATTACAATAACAAGCAATATAATATGTATTCTTTTATCTATAGTAATCGAAGAGTTGGAGAAATAAGATCACATGCCTATCCAGAGACTCTCTTAAAAAAATAATTGAGTTTCTACTTATAGATTTTATAGTTCATTTGACTTAGTTTTAGTTTTAGTTATATTTGTTATTTTCTTTTTATTTTCTTTATACTTAAAAAATTAAAAGATTTTATAAAATTTTGTTAAGTAAATAGGCATAGTTGCTACTCTACTATCTAATATTTTAGTATTGTTTTTGAAATTTTTTACAATATTAGTTAAATAATGATCAAGTAGGCAAGCTAGTATTTAACTTGTTATATGCAACATATATCCAAGAGATATTATTTTTTTCTCAATATATATCTTTAATATATAATAACGAATAAAGAGATTATGTTTATCTACTGAGAAAAATCCTTCAAAAAAAATAAATAAAAATATTTATAAAGTAAATTAATTCTAACTTATTAAAAATAAAAGTTAATATATATAAATCTTTAAAAATCCAAGTAGAAAACAAAAATAAATAAATAAATAATTGTTAGTTACCAATTAAATTATTAACTATATATATATACTCTATAGGTATTAATAATAAGAAAAAAATATAATATTTTGATTTTGGATTGTAACTTGAATTCATATAATTATATAGTTAAAAAGAATATAAATAAGAATCAATAGTCTTATTAATATTAATAATCCAAATATCAATATAATATAATTATTTTTTAATAAAAGTAAACTGTTTATAATTTTTTGTTTTAAAAATTTAAAAGTTAAATAAGACAAGAGAACAGTTTTATAACTATTTCTTTTAAATAATAATAGAATAATAGTTTTATCAAGTATCCAAAATAGAATTGCCAATAATTGTATGCTTTTGATATATTTATTAGTAGTTTAAATTCTTAAAGCAAATTCTTATGTAATCGATACTGCCAATTGAATTATTATCTTTAATTATTTTTTTTTATTTAGTTGACTTGATATATAATTACTAATTATAGGAAGATATATTTAGAATCTTGATAGAATAATAATTTATTTCTCTTATACTCTAACCTTTTAATTAAAAAAATATTATTTTAGCTTGTTTAAGTTAAGTTCTTTAAGACAAGAGAAAAAAATCTTAACAAAAAAGCTTATACTTTTTATTTAAGAAATTTTTAGTTTAAATAAAGTTAATATCTTAACTAAGATAAAGTAATAACAAATTAGAGAATTGATGAAATAAATATGGAAGAAAAAAAAAAAGTTTAAAAAGAAAACCTTTAAGAAGAAGAAAAAAACTATTTATTGACAAAAAAAAAGAAAAAATGAGAAGAATCCCAAGAAAGATTTATAAAGAAATAACTGTTATGGGTTTTTCTCATACAATCCAAAAAAAAGCAAAACTTCCAAACTTGTTTTCCTCTAGTCAAAGGTCTCATCCTGATGTATCAGTATACTTTTTTGATTTTCTTGAGACTCTTGTAATGAAGAAAAAGAAAATATAAATGACTTTTGAGTATCCAAAGACAAAAAATTTTGTTTTTTTAATTTTGAAAGAAAATTATTATAAAAGAAAAATTTTAAGAAAAAAGTTGTGTATGGAAAAGAGTTTAAAATAAAGTATAATAAATTTGTTTTTAAAAATTTATTTTTAAAATTATATATTATATTTAATCAATTAGGTTGTTTAACACAAATAAAAGTAGAATATTAAAAAAATTGACATATTCATTAATGTATTACTGTTTACATGTTTTTTATTATAAAAAATCGGTAATTATAATTTTCATTGTTATTTTATTTTATTCTATTTTTAAGTAATATAATATTTAACCAAATTGGCATACAAACTATTTTAAAGTTCTTGCTTAAAATAACCATTTTTATTAATTCTGTTGTTTCGTGCGTATGTTTGTACATGTATATATTTTTCCATATTGTATATGCAATTACTTCTCATGATGATAACATTTTTTCATATTAAATGAATATGTTAAATATGCAGTGAATTTTTCTTATGAAAAATGTGTTTTTTTTTGTACGATAGTGAGTTAAATTTATCCAGCGAATTGAATGAACTTATACGCAAATTTTTCTTTAATCAGTCCTTATCGTTTTTATTTACATCTTCCCCCTCGATGGTTATGATATTCTTGCCTATAGATCTTGTATTGCTCACGGAATCTGTATTTGTTACGCTCATAACACTATTAATTTTCTTACTCTTACTCATTAGCCAATCTCTGTCCACGCGATTACGCGTCATAGTACTTGATTCAACGCTGTCTTCTTTCACTTTGAATAATTCACTCTCTGCAATTTCTTCTCTACATTCCTTACAGATATCAACTTTCGTGTGCACATTGGATTTCATAGTATTCGAATCTATTCCATTCTCATGATTATGAAGGTAAAGGTGTGATTGAGAATAGTAACAGCAAGGGAGAAACATTGTGGCCGAGCGTGTAGTTCCAAATATCAGGAACAGGAGTGTACCGCTGATGGTTAAAAAAGAATGGAATGAGGGAAAATTCCATAATATTTGTAAATGCGTCTTTCATCACGCGAACGAAAGAGCTTA